CTCTCAGCCTCTCCTCACAGGAGAGGTGCTCCAGGCCCTTCACCATCTTGGTGGCCCTTCCTTGGACTCTCCAGCACGTCCATGTCTGTGTTGTACAGGGGGGCCCAGGACTGGGCACAGTACTGCAGGTGGGACCACATCAACACCAAGCAGAGTGGAAGGCATCACTTCTCTTTTTTTCTGCAAGCAAGTGCCTAACGCAACCAACCATCAGCCTAATGCAAAGTTGTTGGTGTTGTTGGCTCGCCTTTGGTACATGGAAATTATGGATGAGAGAACTCATTATAGTGGTAGGTACTCTCTGTAATTATTTGAAATCAATAGGGGTAAAGGATACTCAACTGGAAGCATTGTTCAGTAAAGGGTTTAGTCTGTGGCTCTCTGTATCCAAAGTAATCAAACCAGCAGAGGAAACCAGAGGCAGCATATAGCCCAGGAATTCATCTCCTTGTTTGACATAAACACATACATACCCCTCTCTGCCTGAGGGGGCATGTCCAGGGTCAGGGTGTGTTTAGTAGGGAAGTTAGGTGAGGAGAAAGCAGCCCGTACCTCTGTTATTTTTGGAGTCCTCCAGATGCTGCACATGGGGCTTTGTGAATGACCAGCTCCTTGGACACTGTACAGGGGGACATGCTAGTGGCAGGAATGACAGAAATGAGGACTGGCCTACGCAGGAAGTAAAGATCAAAATATCAGATGTAGAATTTAACTCAGCCATGGGTGTGTGGTATCTATTACTGTAAAGCAGTCTTTTATGCCGTGTTCTACCTGTAATTAACACATGGGTTATGTTCAGATGATCAGCTGATTTTACATGATCCATCACTGCATGAAATGAGCCCCACTTTGGCTTGATTGAGGGAGAGCCACTGTCTCTACTGTTGTAGACAAAAGTATAATTTCACAGTAGATGGGATGATGATCATACATTCCCCAGAAACTTTTAGGATGCTTGGATCTTTCTTTGTTCAGTGCCTTTGTTTCAATGCTTATTTCATTACTCCTGATGGACCAGAGGAAGTCTAGACTGCATTGTAGCTCAGGCCTCCTGTTATTTGCAAGTGGTATCAGACACTGTGAATGTTGGGGAACTGGCTCCACCATGTGGGCTATGGAAAGTGAACATTAGAAAGTCTAGCAAGAAACTTTAAAGGGCTTCTAAATAATGATGATAAGGAAGCACACTGTATAATTGAATAAAATACAGCAAAATTTTGCCACCCTTTCTCTAGGCTATTTGTTAGTGGTATAGTGGCTATGGGAGAGTTACATTCAGAAAAACAGGCTTTGGTAAGAGAGAAAATTGGGTAGAAAGTTAATACTGCATGAATGCTGAAAACCCATTCTCTTATATATATATATTAAATGAGAGGTACATAAAGTATTCAATTACTTCTTTGGTGTACCATATCCATAGCTGGATCTTCTCCAGACTGCCTGTTTTACTTGCTTTGGCAGCTTCACATTGCCTCTGGAAATAATGCTTTCCCTGAGACCAAGTGGGTCACATCAGAGGAAGCAGCTCTGCCAAGAGGCCCACAGCACCCAGGAAGCCATACCAGTGAAGTCCTGCAGGGAGCGACGAGGAGAGGCATGGCCAGTCACCAGAGGCGACCAAGGAAAGAGGCTACAAAGGGACTCACACAGAACTGTGTGGTATTTTTTGCAACCTAGCATATGATATGGACATTTCCTGACTCAGAGCAAGCCTGAAGGGAATATTTTCTTAATAAATTTGTTTGAGATACTCACATTTCTATTCTGCCTTTAGTAGACCTGACTTTTGTCTGTTAAAAAGCAAACAAACAAACAAAAACTATTCTACTTTATGTCACGAGACTCACTTTTGGGGTTCTGAGCCTTTTGATGGTGCTCGAAGGAAAAGAGAGACAGTAGAGCCTCCTTTTTCTAATTCCCAACACCTGCATTTGGTTACTCATCTCCACGATAGGGCCTGCAATGTCTGAGCAGTGCTGAATGTGAAGTGAGTCAGTGCTGGAGGCCAGAGCTGATGGCTTCATGAAAATGTTCCTGCAAACCAGTTCCAGTGGATAGGCTTTTGTGCAGCAAAGGTTACATAGCTTGACTCTTTTTGGTAACAAATACAAGCAAGCAAATTACTGTGTCAAGGAGTAAAAGCCTGTATGTAAGTGGTTAATATAGAGTAGCTGATATTAATTATTAACCCAAACCTGTATGCAGGCTCTCACCTCATGGAAGGCAGTTTATCTGCTTTCACTTGCAAAAAATTACCATTGCTTAGCTACTCTGCAATGCTTTTCTGTTTAGAGGCTCTTCTCTTTCTCCTCTTCCATCTTCTTTCACCACTCGTCTGCAGCCTACCACGAATTCTGAAAATGCTGAAACTTTTCAGCAATCTGTTCCCCTACTCTCCCCAGACTTTTTGTGAAGTCTCCTTCACTTGTAATTGTTCTCTTGTCATTATCATTAATTCAACAGAATAAATCACAGGGTGGCACTGTTTTGCTTTCATGCCTGAGAACAATTGATGGAACCGCCACCTTCAGTGAATGCAGCTTAATTTTGTAGATCACACAAACATGCACGTTAGAAGGGGTCTCCAGAGGTGATTTAGTCCAACCTCCTGCTCCCAGCAGGTCCGGTTAGAGCGTGCTGCTCAACAGCATGTCCACTCAAGGTCTGAGCATCTCCAAATTCAGGTGCCACTGCCCCTTTGGTTTATAGATGTAAATATTTGACCACCCTTGTGTTTTCATTTTCTTTCTTTTCCTTTTCCTTTTCCTTTTCCTTTTCCTTTTCCTTTTCCTTTTCCTTTTCCTTTTCCTTTTCCTTTTCCTTTTCCTTTTCCTTTTCCTTTTCCTTTTCCTTTTCCTTTTCTTTTTTTTATTCTTTTTTCTTTTTCTTTTTCTTTTTCTTTTTCTTTTTTTTCTTTTTCTTTTTCTTTCTTTTTTCTTTTTTTTCTTTCTTTTTCTCTTTTCCTTTTCCTTTTCCTTTTCCCTCCTCCCTCCTTCTTCTTCTTCTTCTTCTCTTCTTCTTCTTCTTCTTTTCTTTCTTTCTTTCTTTCTTTCTTTCTTTCTTTCTTTCTTTCTTTCTTTCTTTCTTTCTTTCTTTCTTTCTTTCTTTCTTTCTTCTTTCTTTCTCTCTCTCTCTCTCTTCCTCTTTCTCTCTCTCTCCTTCTCTCCTTCTTTCTTCCTTTCTCTTTCCCATTATATCTAAAAATTCCCCATGTTCCAGATTCTGCCACTTCTCATCTTCTTGCTGTACATTTTTGGGAAATGTCTAGCTTTTCTCTCCTTTTCTCCAGATTGTTTTAAGGGGTCTCCTTAACCTTCTCAAGTTGTAACAAACCCAGCTCTCTCAGCATCAGGATGCAGTATGTTGTGCTCCAGCACCCTGAACTGACCTTCCTATTGGACTCAGAACACTCTGTTGATGTCATCTCTTTATCTTGGAGTCAAAAACTGGACCCAGTACTCCAGAAGCAGCCTCCCAGCTGCTGAAGAGAAAGATGTTAACACTCCTCTCAACCTGCTGGCTATGCTCTTGCTAAAGCATTTTTGATTAGGGAATAGCAAGTCTTTTCCTCATTTAAGTGCATAGACATTTCTATTCAGTTAACTTGTCTTGACACGAATACTGAAATCTTGCCTTTTTGATATTAAAATCTCTGAGGATGCATTTTCATTTGTTCTTCTTTGTAATTTGAATAGAAGCAAATTGCAATAATCAATGCAAGATTAATTTAAATGACTAGCACATTTACTCACTGTAATTGCATAGAACATTATCTCCCGATGGATCCATGATGAACTGGTAAAGAAATCTGGCATGTGTTACATACAGGATTAAGTGGGTTCTGCATATTCATACAAGTATTTTGATGTCCAGTCCAAATTTAGAAAGACAAAAATTTCCATAACAGTAATCCTTTTGTATGATTATTATTTTTACTATCAGAAGATCTCTATCTGCATTCTACTCTGAATTTTAATGAACATAAAACTTCACAGTCTTTCTGTTTCTCCCTCACAGATAACCCTAAACTGGTCCATTTCATTTTATTGCACTTTTTTTTGCAGATCATACTGATGATCTGTACAGAAGCCCTAAGCTGAAGACACTTTATAAAATGTATTCTTAAGACAGGGTGAGTCAGATTTGTTCTGTAATTCATCATTAACTGTACATGAGCTGTACTTCTTTATGGGAAAATGTTACAATATATTCTATCAAATTCTCATTTTTGGAAATAAAAATAATTCCTGAATGCATGCTTTATATTGCAATATATACAAAGATAAATGGGAGAATTCATGGAGAAGAAAGGCAGATAGATGAGGTGGAACACATGCTATATAGATAAATTTGCTGGGGGACAAAAGGCCTCAGGAAGAACCAGATTGTTTTATTTTGTGAAACTGACAAAATGAACATTCTTTAACTCTGATTACTCAAAAGATAAACATAAGCAAGTGAACACAGAACTCTCTCTTAGAGATACAGTAAAAATAATATATACTCTTTTCATTTTGTAGTAGAAATGCATAACCATAACTGCTTGCATATCAACAGTCATACCAGGAATTTATGGTACAGTTTTGAATTTACAGCCAACTGAAAAACAGCCACAGCCTGTGGGAGATTATTTCAGCTAGTAAAAAAGCATTGAAACTGCAGGAATAAACTTCTAATTCTCTAGCAATTGCTCTTGTGAGGTGTGGGATGCTCCAAGGTCTTCAGTGTCTCTCAAAACCTAATAGATGGCAATTTATTTCAGTAATTTCTCTGGACTGCTGAAATTAATGCATTACATACATAAAAGTAATCAACGATTTAGTGCACTATACTGATTAGGATATTTTTTACACTTTTTAAAATTTATGTGTCCACAGGTTTTTTTCTCTGTTTAAGATAGATGAGATAGCAGGATTGTAGTCCACAAAACATATTCTTATTTTGTTACCAATGTTATCAACACCAAACTATGCAATTCATCAGAGGTAGAAAGGCAATGGTACAAGACTATGCACTCTTTATTCTTTGAGACAAATGCAAAAGTCTAAAGCATATTTGCAATCTGAGGAATAACTGTTTGAAGACAGAATAGAATGAGAGCAAATGCATGGGGGAATAACCTATATTTCAGGCAGGACTTCCCTGTGTGCCAATATACAAAGCATGTATTTGCTGTTGGAGCCACAACTACTGTGCCAGTAGTTGATACACTTCTGTCTATTCTACCACTCAAGAGCAGTAAAAGAAACACTTAACTAAAGTAAAGGACATCTGATGTGTGGGTAGCAACTGCATAGTGTCATTACAATTAAGATATTATTTCACTTTAAAAAGTTTACTTCGTGTGCTTAAGAAAGTATAAATGAATAAGGAAATTTCAGAATGATGTAACCACTTCAGCTAATTGATGCATGTGCTTCTTCCAAGAAAACCAAAATTAATATTCAAGTTAGTGATATTCAAGATCATATATGAATGCATGAACTTGGGAAAAATATGAGAATATTTGAGTCCAGGCAAAAAATCAAAATAAAAGGGTAACGTGTTTTATCCAATGTCTCATGTTTTTGAGGATCGGTTTGACTGGATACACAGAAACCATATTGAGATATTAAAATTAACTACAACAGATGAAAAGGTAGTTACTAGAAGGGCTGTCCATCCTTGTATTACAAGCAAATGCATCAAAGAAAACAGTAGCAAGGTTTTCTAGTAAGTTCTTGTTACTTTCCATCACCACTCAGCATTAACAATAAAACCAAAAAAAAATCAGTTTCTTATGTAAGTCAGTTTATTGGTTCTCGGAAGACACAAAAGCCATTATTTTAAGTGCAGGCAACTAATCCTGTTTTATTGCCCCAATAATAAGAACTTAAAACATCACAGTCAATGCCTTTTAGGTAGAGAGACTCAAATTCTTGTCTCGGTTATTTATGTAGAAACTTTCTCAACACCAAGATCAACTGCTTAAGGATATGACAAGAAATTTTACATGTAAGACATAGTATAATAGAAAAAGTTGTTTATGAGCTTTCTATAGAAACATTTTTATGTGTTGAGATGTAAAGACTCAGAAGTTTAAAGATTCAAGAGACCCCTAAAATTAATGCTGTTGCAAGTGCTGCACTCCTAAAATCAAAAGCTGATCTTCTGATAAGTCAATGCCAAACATTCGTAAACAGGATTCAATCAATACTTCAGTTTCTGCTGACAGGTACTTGTTTCTTAAAATAAAATTGCTTCATACTAAGCAAAACAAGCTTCTAATAAACTGAAATGTTAATTCTCAATGAGAATTCAGAAATTATTTGAAAAATTCTAAGTGAGTATAAAGGATCAAAATCCACCTTCCCTGAATTCTCACTGAATTGTGATAGTAATAACAGCACAATTTAGTCAGTATTGCCTATTCCTTACTTCATCACTGGAGCACATTTTTTTCTAGCAAAGATGAAAGGTGAAATAGTGAAGGGAGACTGGAAAATGCCTCTTATAGCCACTTGTACCCCTGATTTTTTCAAGTTTTGACATATTCCTTATGTATGTCACTGTGAACATGTTTGTTGCAGTATCTCCAGAGCTATTTCTGCCACCTATTCATGAGTTAAAGGAAGATAATCCCCAAACTTAAATATCAGGAGACTTTACCTGCCATGACTTTGACTACCCAATCTCCTGATTGGTACCACCCTGAGAAGTCATCCCAATGGTGAATATTAGGATATTTACTCACATATTCTGCATGTGGGATTAACCTAGGTGGTATTTGTGTTACACGGTTTGGGGAGCATGCCAAAACAATAGCATTTTAGCATTGTGAAGGACAGAGGAAGATGTTTCTGTCTGCCAGTCATTCTTTGCTCATATCGTATGTGCCAGCTGAACTGCCTCCCTAGAAAGTGACAGTGCTAAAGAGACTTCACTTAGAGCCTCCAACTATGCAGAGTCACAGTAAACAAACACTTAGGAGACTTAATCTGGATTTTTTTAGTAGCAGGGAAGACAAATGACACGAGTCATCAGCAAAGACCCTCTCCATATGCAACAAAATCCCTAATAGGTGAAATCATTAATATGTAGACTAAGATGCCAAAAAAAAATAAAAATAGGCAGAGGATCAAAGATAAAATCCATCATCCTGAGAGGTAACAGTAGAGCAGCAGGAGGAAGGCACTTCACCCCCCAGCAATCCTAAAGCTGCTGTACTAAATACAAGGCAACCTGATACCAGCAATGCTCTAGGGCTGGATGGGTGAAGTAACAGTAGCAGTGAATCAAGGAAAGATCAATGGGCAGCTGCAGGACATGGCAAAGACAGCAAATGCTGCAATGACAGCAAGGTATGTCTTTTTGTCTTCACACACAGAAGCCAAACATGCCTGATTGTATCCCCAGAATCCTGGACAACAAACTATGAACAAGAGAGGAAAAGAAAAATGTGGTACGTTAAAGAGGAGTTTATTCTTTGGATGTTTGCACAATATGGGACATCTGAGAAAGATATCTATTAAAGATGCTGTAGGAGCAGGCATTTTAGCTCCTGTTCATGCACTGTTTGACCCATTGTTATTCCTGCTTTCCTGAGCTACTGGTTCATTTTTCTGCCTTTACTACATTTCCTTTGAAATTCATTTTAAATATTGGGACTGAGCCCATTTTTCCTCCAAGACCACATGACAGAAGTGACACTATCACAAATGCTAAAATTTGTGGTCAAGGAATACGTGTCTCACATTTCCTCCATAAGGTTAGTGATTGCATAGAGTATCTTCTGCTTTAAAAATCAGATTCAGTTTTACCACTCAGAATGTTAAGCTGAGAAACACAGATCTTGATCCAGAGGAAAAGCAGTAGAGAGCAAAAACTAACTATGCTTTAGAATGCAGGGCTTTTCTCAACTCAGGCTCCACAGAGCTTTACTTGAACGAGGCTCTCACCACCCTGCCCTTCACAGGCTGAGGTGGGCGCCAGTTATCAACCAGTGGGTTCATGGCTTCGTTCTCACCATTCTTGGAAAGGCTACGGAGCTTCGCCATCTGCAAGGAAGAAAAATAAATGGTGGCCACGTAAATTCATCTGGAAACAGCACCTTGATGCCTAGAACAAACACTGAGACAGATGAGGAATTTGATTGTACAACCAATACATTAATTTGTATTATCATTAGGATTTACAGGTTCGAGCTAGTTTGGTTCTTCTCACTTACAACTTTTAGGGTGTCAGTAGTTTTCCTGGACCAATAGTTTCTTAAACCTGCTAGACATTACTCTTACTTGCCACTTGATACTGAAGTACAAAGAACGAACTGAGGCTGCTGAGAGGACCGACTTTTGTGCCTCTGGGGCAATTCTGCCTGCACTGGTCTTCAGGATCCCACAAACACTCCTGCTGAAGCTATTCCAGATCATGTCTAGGAAGACAGCCCAATTCTCAAGGCCAGCTCTGCAGTTCAATTCAGCTTAACTCTTTTTGAAGCCAATTTCTCACAGCCTTCGGCTAAAGCTCCCCTTATCAAAACATGCAAGGTAACATATGGCTTGCAAATCATTACACTGACATGGTGCATGACTGTTGAGATTTGTTAAAGGAGTAGCAGAACTAGCTGGAGTTTACCTGGTCAGGGCTGACTTCAATGGGCTCCCTCAAGAGAATCCAAGTGATACACTCCTCACAGGGGGGTGTTGTGAATGAACCCTGGTAGGTCCAGTAGTCCCGAGATTTGGGGAAAAGAATTGATGGATCGAAGTGCTGAAAAGGAGCCTCTTTCCCCTTAAAAACAAAACAAAACAAAACAAACAAACAAAGAAAAAAAAAAGAAAAATCAATTAAGTAATTCTAGGCATACACAGCATGAAAGACACCAGCATCATTGTTATAGGGGAAGTAGTTAAATATCAAGATTAATGCAAGAGATCAACCTCCTTTTTGTCTTATTAAGTATCTGCCCTGAAATTAGTAACTGAAATTTTGACTTCATTAATAAATTAACAGAAATTGCAGCCTGAATTGTACAGGACCAAAGCAAATTCATTTCTATATTTTTCTATTCCCTGTGCCCTCAAAACTAATTACTGATTATCAAAATTTGTTTTATTTGGGGTCATTTGGGATAAAAGTTAGGGCTCTGTAGGTTCTGGTACCATTTTTATCCAATAGAACAGTGGCCAAGTGTTTATCCAAGATTCATTCTTCTTCTCTATCTCAAGGAATTTAAATCTGCATCTTTCTTCCCCTGAAACTGTTCTCTACTTACATTGCTATGGTGACACTTTTAATCTTTTTATTGGCACTGTTACACAAAGCAAGAAACTGAAATACTCCCTGGAAGGGTACAGGACCTTGAATGCCTTTTTACTAAAGGTGAGCATCACCAGACAAGGAAGAACAGCAGACACCAGACAACATTTCCTGTTTTCTTTTCTACTAAAGGGCATACTTGAGTATCTCAACAGCAGTGTAATGAGATTTTCTTGTTTCCCCTGCAGGTGGCCAAGAACTAAACAAGAAAGTTTAGTTCTCTACTGGTTTTTAGGAAGCAATTCTGGAAAGCAAAATCTGTTCTTCCAAATTGCTGCTCTTCTAATAGAGAATATTCTCTAGACAGAAACAGAGAACTACCCTACAAAGTGTAATGGGAGGAACTGAAACCTTTTCCACACTTCCTTGCACAAAATACCACCAGAAGGAATAGCATCAACATTCCTAATGTCTTCCCGACAAAATTATTCTGTAAATGCAAGATGAGTTTGCAAATAGCTTCAAACAAAACTGTGCTTTTTCAGTAAATACAGTACAGTGGCCAAAAAGCTACTCTTTCTGTAATGCATCACAGTGACTGAGACTGCACATGAGATAAATACACTGATGACACCATCCATTAATCTGTCCTGAAAAATAACAGTCTCGGTAAAATGTATGTTATGACAGGAACAGAAAGTTTAAGAAATAAAATACAAGATCTGTATGATTGCACATGGCCTATCTTTCTCTGCTTTTCCCAGAACCAAAACAAACAGTATCTGTAGGAAATCAGATTTCTTCTATTTTTTCTGTTTTGTAGTTAGAAGTCATAAATTCTGCCCACGAGGCAGTCCTGAATATGATGTAATGGGGTGGTTATCACTACCACCTAGTCATAACTATATGAGACACAGTGTTTCAAAGGGCAATTTATACACGTTTTTCAACTGTAGCAAAGCTCTTCTGCATGTAAATGGCAAAAAAGGGATGAAAGGGTTACCAGAGGAAGCTCAAACTATATTAAGATTGATATCATTGACAAAGTAGGTGGCATAAAATTGACCTTCAATTCCCTCAGCAGAAAGAAATGAAATGTAATGAAAGCTAAGAAAAGCTAAGCTAAGGTTGAAACATTAAAATTAACAAGACTGAGTGAGGAGATAACAGATTTTAGATTCAGACCCTCACATCAATGGCAGTAAGTATTTACAAACTTACATGCTTTAAGTATTTATATACTTAAAGTAAATGAAAGAAATTCTGCTAAATTTGCGAGAAAATGTTTATAAACTTTGTAAAATCGAGTCCTAGTGATCTGGTGATATGTTCAATATCATATATAAAAATAAGTTTTAGCATCATTAGATAGAATCATAAGGCTTTTCATGAAGTGGAATGGTAAGGTAGGCCTAGGAGTTAAGTTTATGTTAAATAATGATGTTAAGAAGTAGCATCATAATTCTCTGCAAATAAACTCCCTTCTGCAGTTTAATGTATGTAATAGGTATGGACTTTTGTCCTTGGATAAGCATTTTGTCCTCTGGCCTCAAATTCAAAAAGCTTTTAATTTCTTCTTGGTGTTTGTACACTAGCTTATTTACACACAGCAGTGCCAATAAGATTATCAGCTATGCATGCAAGGACTAACAAAATATCATCCTCAGCATGATTACAGAAGTAAAGAGTTAGATGCTTACTTCGATAAAAAAAAAAAAAGAAGTGTCCTGCTTCACAGTCCAATCTATCACCTCCAGTGCTAATGTTAGGTACCAGAATGATGCCAAAAAGAATGAATCTCAACTTCTAATTTCTACTCCTGATGCTTTTCAACTACATTTTATCAAAAAAAAAAAAAAAAAAAAAAAAGAGAGTGAGAGAGAGCAAGTTTTGATACCTTGGTTTTAATGTTATCTATTTCTTCAAGAATTCTCTTCATTTCTGGTTTGGGAGTTTTTCCAACCTGTAATGTAAAGCACAAGTATTGTATATTTTTATCATACTCCACGGTATGTAGATGTATATCACATCCATCAAGTTAGGCAGCAGTACCTTTGCAGTCCCAAGTTTAATTATTTAATTAAAAAGGCATCCATGTGGATTCCAACTCTGTGCTTATTGGCAGGGCCAACCGGGCATGAACCTATGGACAACACCCTCAGAGCATCCAAATCAAACTGGCACAAAACTATGTATGTTAAAACGATGTCCAGAATAGAAGACTGATGCTAACAGAAAACAGGCTTTGTAATTCAAAAGTGTGCTGTAAGACTACACAAGACATCTCCCACTGTCTGAGCAACAAACTATACACCCAGTGTCATCTAGACCCTGCAGGATCCAGTCCTTGGCTCCTGGTTTGGAAGCAACCCACAATTTCTGAGATGTATGGGCACTCAGGAAAGTGCTGGTAATGAAGATACAGGGCTCTCACAGACAGAATATCCTGCAGCACATATGCAGTCAGATCAGACCTGATGTAAGACATATGATGAGAATAATGTCATGAACCTCTAAAGCTCTGGAATCACTCTATTGCTTGTGTTCATGACGTTCACACCACCAAAAGCTTTGACATGGCTCTGCACCTGAGAGTAAAGACAGTATGCATAAGACATGTTTTTAATGATGTCTTTTTTACCAAAAAGATTAAATTCCACTATTCAGGAGATAATTCAATCTCTGTTCTAGCAATACTCAAAATCCAGTCATGAAACAAGACAAACCCAGAGCAGAACAATGACTCATGTCAGAGAGCAAGGAAAAAATGAAAGGCCAACGAAGATGGAGTTATACTACTTTCTTTTGTAGACTTTTTAGCTGACCTTGCATGGTCAATAGGAACATAATGTTATACTTTTTAAGTTGTGCTTTACAAGACAAAACTTTAATCCAGAATAGATCAAAAAAGATGACAAAGGAAAAATAATCAAAGGACATTGTCTAGCGGAATGTGTCCCTGCTCATGTCAGAGGGGTTGGAACTAGATGATCTTAAAGGTCCCTTCCAAACCACTGTGATTCTACATAGTCATAGGGGAGAATCTGTACAGGTGCTGAAATTCTATCACTATTGGTTTAAAATAACTACAAGAAAAAAGGCCAGGCTAGTTCACAGTATAACAGAATTAAAATGGCATTGGATTTAGTCTGTCCAAGGGCACTGTGGCAAAATTAATTATATCCACTTGCTACATTTGAATGAATGCAAATTAGCATTGATTAGGCAATAAAAGGGGACATATTCTCTGACACTGTGCTCAACCTGGAGGTCACACCTGTGGGTACAAAGAGAACAACATGTTTGAAGTTTGCATAATTTATCCTACTTGTGTGTTTGCATGTAAGTGCACATACAGGTTTGACACGAGGATTGATTTCTGTCCATAAAAAATCAATTGCAAAATATCAGTATTGTAATATTTTTTATTAACCTGCTTTATTTCAAGGTTAAGATGTTCAGTGAGCTCCTTTTACTGTCAGTTCTTTCAAGTATTTAGTCTTTTGGAGTAGGTTCCTTGAACTCTCTTTGATTCTCAGCTCATGTAGGGATCATCAAGAGATCAAGGGAGTGAATCAGTCAACATAATCCTGCTGACAGGTAGATATAATAATACCTGTTAGCAGATAAAGGGCAGGAGGAAACACTCCTATATAGAGAGTCCTTCTCACTCAGTACACATCACAGCACAGAGCTGACATAGGGCCCAAGGACATACGTGACTTCAGTCTGTGCATCACTTTGACTGTTTTCCTGTAAAATGATATAGTATAAGGAAAAATAAAGGTAAAATATGGTAAACACAGAAAATATATGAAAACTGAATGTTTACCACTTACTTTCAGAAAAATGCCCACAACAGCCACACCATCAGGTTGTTTCAAAGCTCCAGCAAAATTGCCATGTTTTGGATTCCAGTGTACCATGTGTAACTAAAAATCAATAAAACTTCAGTTATAAATGCGAGAAATTGCCAATGGTGCAGTCTTACAATCTCTTACATTATATTAAGAAATTTCCACTAGACAGCAAGTAAAGGAATGGACATGAAAAAGGAAACTACACATAAGTATCTCCAGTTCATGTTCCCACGCTTCCACCTGCTCACACTTTCTATATATAACACTTTATATACGATTGAAGCATAAAGGAAAGAAAATGGAGTTTACCACACGTCTTTTAAAAATTCATCAGACAATTCAGCTATACACAGTTCAACCCAAGCATGTGACATGCACACATGCAGTGCATATAGCACCTACTGACATGCACTTCACTCAAGTAGATCTTCAGGTTATGCAGATATCAGCTCTGGGATTTACACTGGGTTTTATCTAGTACATTTGTTATTGCTTTTTATCTCTTACAGTTCTCTGCACATCATACTGGAGAGGAGTAGAGATTGTAACCTGGGGGTTCCTTTGTATTTCTGCTTTCAACAATGCTTATTTTCAGGATATACTTTAAGTTTTCTATCTCCTTCCAGAAAAATATCCTGTATATAGCTAGAAGTGCTGCATTGTCTCAAAATAAGCAGTGTCTGGACCATGGTACCATACAAAACAATAGGAGTCTGGTGAATATTTTGAATGCAAATTCTTAACTTTTTTTTAAAACTATTTTATTTTTTAAATAACAACAAAATAACTTTTCCTGAATACAAACTTGTGTAATGCTGTTTCTTTTCCCTTATGGATAAAGTTATAATTGCTAAGGATAATGGTAGAGTAGCCATGTTATCTTTGGCCACATTTTGGCAAAATGTCATGCATTCCAGGCATTCTTCTCTTGTCTATAAATACCCAAATACTGAAAATAGAAAAAAAAAAAAAAAAGGCAAAGTAAGAAGTCTGTGCTTGAACTAACCAAAAAGTAGCTTGAGGAAGCAGAATTTGTCTGTAGTCAGTCACAGAAAGTAGAATACTAATGCAATTTGGCTGTGCCTAAGGAATGTGAGAGAAAACAAAAACAAAAACAAAAACCATCACCCACAGTCAGTTCTGCAATGTATGTGCATCCTGACCCTGTAAAATATCTACCAGAATTTTCTCCTATGATGGGTGGGCAGAGCCCCTGTAAGCTCTGCACCTCAAGGATATAGGTGATTTACAGTCATAAAACACTTTTTTCTACTCATTAATGTTTCATGAAACTAAATTAGTAATTCAAGTTATGCCACAAATTATTAACAGCCAACAAAGCATCAGCAGAAAACAGAGTTTTCTATTTGGAAATAATATATCACTTTGCCTCAAGGATTTTTAAAACGTTCTACAAATACAGCAAAAACTCATTCAATGAGGCAAGTTTCATGTTAGTATTTGCAAAGATATGTTTGTTGTCAGATGCAGCATATTCCACTGCACAGTGATGAATATTCACAAGTTTCACAGACAGAGTTTAGAGAAAAGAATAAAGAGATTTTAGAGAAAAAATAAATGCTTGTAAAAGGGAGAATGGTTAATCTGTTCAGATGCACAACCAAATTCCAGTTAGTATTGAACACCACTGTTAAAACTCAGTCCTACCTCTGCTGCATATTTCACCCCATCTATAACATGCTCAGAGCCATGGTCATCAGATGAACCCCAGTGCAAGTGCAGCTGGCGCAGCCTGTATGCTCCTGTGAGCGGCCCACCTCTCAGCACTGCAATTGATAATCTGCATCAATGCCAGCCTACAAACTAGTCTGTAAGCAAACTATGGTTACAGCATGGTTGGGTGCTTCTAAAAAGAAAAAATGTTCCTAGGCACATAATGCTTACCACACATCAGCAATTTGCATAAACCCTGACTCTCAAAACACCACTCCTGTTCTTCTTGTTAGGTTTGGGGACTTTTTTTTTCAGCAGGGACTGCCTAGAGGACAAGCTCTCAAATGTATTTTTTCATTCATTACCTAAGGCAGGAATGAGACGTGTTTCCTTACACAGAAAGCTGATAATGCAGTTCACAACTGCAGTGCCAGAAGACCTTGCTTAAATAGCATTCAAGTTTGAACTTCTAACAATAGCTTTGAAGTTCAAAGTTAACATATTTAAAACCTCCTGTACCCAATGGTGTCAAATTAATTCTTGATATCACGTGTTTTGGAATACCTACAGATAAAAGATGTGCTAAACACATAACAGAAGGTTTAACTTTGCAGTTTCTCTTTTAAGTTGGTATCTGTCATAGCCATTGACAGAGGGCAGAGAGGCAGAAACAAAGCAGTGCCTCAGGTTTTAGGCATGCCTTCCTCTTACTTTTTTGAGTATGTTAATATATAAGTAGATTATCCTAACTAACTCAATACTGTATAGAGCCCTCAGTAGAAGATGTATCACTTTATTCTTGTTTCACTTTTGAATATAGGAAAAATGGCATAGACTCTGTGGCCCAAATTCTTGATAGTATTTGCTTGCCCTTTTACACGGCAATTTGCACAAGGGACGAACTTTCCTTTAAGAGCTGAATTTGCATTCAACCTACATTTACAAGCTAAATCAGTATGAGAGTTAGAAACTCATTTTTCAGTGATTTCTTACTAATGGCATTTCTGAGAAATCAAATACCGTGTAGCGCTTGGAAACGGCACTCCATAATGGTCCAGATATCTCCAGCAGAAACAGAAACCTTTCTAACTTAAAAGATTTTTCAATGAGATTAGACCAAAAAAAAAGTGTTTCTGAAATTCTTTTTCCTGTTTAGAGCTGTTAAACATTGTATTTGATTCCAACAGGCAAATCTACTACGCAGCAGCCTGCAGAAAATTGGGAGCAGGGAGTTCACATTGTGTGTCCAGAGAAGCAAGAGACATATTGGGGAGGGAAAATGATTTACAGGAAGGGCTACACCCGTCTTGACCGTATCAGGGTCTGTCTCCAGCACAATTCCCTGGGCAGACACCTTCTTGAGCAGCATCTTTCTAAAGATTTCTGCCTTCAGGAATCTGCAAAGAAGACAAATCAGATCCATCCAGAAAGGTTCATAATCAATTTAATTCTTTATATGCTTTTAAGTCATGGGATTGATTTTATGCAGTGCTTGTGGACAAGAATTCCATGTTAAAACAGAAGTGTAATTTATTATTTTTCCAAGGCTTCTATATAGAAGCAGCAGTAATTGGTATTAAAGCACAAAGACATAAAGAGATGGTGCTTGTCCTAAATAGTTTAGATTCTATCTCTGAGATGTGAAACAATAACACGTAGCTATAATCGTAAACAGAGGAGTCCAAGGAAACAATGGGCTCATCAGAATACACAGGAGTGATATTAACCTTTCAATATACCATTGATGTATATCATTAATTATACAGCTTCCTAAGAACAGAATTACAATAAAAATGCCATCAAAGCTGATGCAAAAAATAAAAATAAAAAAAGGAAACTTATGGTTTTCCATTAATTAGATTGTTTTCCTTCTTGTTAGAAGGAATTCAATATCAATATTGCATACTCTTCAGATGTTTTCACATTATATGGTATGTGAATTTACTTTTAACTTTAACTGCTGCTGCCTGTTTGTATTCAGAACCATAAGCTAATACACCTCTGGAATCCAGTTTTGAAAAATTTAACTTGAGATGCAAGACTGATCTCTCAACTAAGTAGTAAACCCATTTCATGGCTTTTCTGAAGTGACTTCTACAAAGCAGAGGGAAAAAAATCGTTATCAGATGTCAAAGGTTGAGTCAAAAGAGTCTAAACATTTCCAGAACTTGCTGAACAGCTTTGGGATTACCACTCCAAGTAGATAGTCGCAATCATTAAGCTATGTAGTCTGCATGCAGCATACTTAATGTAGGTGTAATGCTTCTGCAGCACTTTATAGGTGCTGCAGAATATGTACTGAATATTACTGCATGAATATGCAGTAATGATAACTGTCAGGATTTTCATTTAATTGTAGATTTTTTTTCCCTTTAGAACATACAGTTGTAGTTCTGCTGTTTACACAGTTAAAAATTCCATCTTTGGCATTTTGCTTAAGCAGGCATTTCAGGCTTTGGGCTCTGTTTACCTTCTTTGTTCTATTAAAAATAACATTACCATGCTTGTTTTCAGGTAATACTACTCTAGTTCACATAGCTTCAATGACTGTCACTGTTGAAACAAGTATGACCATGACCATCAAGAAAAGCCAGAAAAAAATGTCCTATGCAGCGAGAGGTGCTGTAACAAGTTGTTTTTAATTGGTTGCTTCCTTTTGCATTCAAGGAAGTAAGTCTTTACAAATTCTTATAGGACACGGTAACAGCATTTGTGATTTGACTACATCTATTTCTCCAACCTGGAAAAGTCAGTAAAACCTCAGTTTTGGGTAGCTGCTCATACCAAAACGATGTAGCTAACTTTTGCCAAGAAAAGTTATAGATTCAAAGGCTGATTTTTGTGATGTAATGTAAATATATGTAGAAGAGATATCTGCAGAACTAGAAAGAATAGCCAGGACAAGCATGTAGAAGTTTCCCTGTTATACCTAAGACACAAAATGAGTGTGGATTGGATACCTTCCCTGGAAAGAATAACAGTAGTGTCCAAGCATTCAAATATGTTGTAACATGGTGAATCTCAAAATCTGAAATAGCCACATCGCTAAACAGACTAACAGGCTAACCTGTCTGCTGAGGTTGTGAAGCAAACTGACAAAATCTAGATCAATGCCTGTGACAACATGCAAGTTTTGTGCTTATGAAGTGTCTACGACAGCATATTAAACCCTTCTGGATAAAATTCACTCATTTTACACAACACCTGAGGACTTGGTGTCCATGTAGAAAGTTACTTTTGGGAAGTACTAGCCGTAATACCTGGCTGCTACTCAGTCTCCCTTCTCCACTGAATCTGTGTGACAGGGGTGTCCATGCAGCTGCAGCCTCCCTGCCCAACCTGTGTTCAACTTAAAAAAGGCAGGGTGCATAGAAATAAACTCTGGACCACATCTCACCTACCCAAATAACTTCTTCCGTGTGGGCTAGCTACAGTGGGGTGTGTTTTGATTTCAAGCACTATGTAAGCTTTAACTCCTGACAACCCCCAAAAGCCAAAACAAAAGCTGACCTGATCTATCAAAACTGTCATCAAAGACAACTCTGCAGGTCCGCCCGTTGTTCAGGATGGTTTTGGCTGCTCCGGGGTCGTAACTGGCATGCCAAGGAGCGAGCGAAGAGTCGTGCCGCACATCTTTACTGTTGATTTCGATGGGCGACTGCTTGTCTCCTTTGGCCATCGGGTAGTTTTCATGCCAGCGCTCGGGTCCTGGGTGGAAACGCAAGGGCAGGTCACCAACACCTCCCAGCCAGACCCCGGCTCTCAGCGGAGCGATGACCCCCAGCCCCGGGGCTGCCCTCTGGGCTCCCCCCGGGCATTTCAACCCGAGGGAGACCCCGCTCCCCCTCTCACCGTTGTCGCTGTCGTAACCCCACACAGACTGTGCCATGGTGTCGCTGTCTGTCCTATGCCTCGCCCCCCCGGCGGCGCTAGCGGCACGGTGGTCCCGTCTCGCCCTCCCCGGGGTCTTTTTATAGACGGCCGCGGCTTCATGCCCCCCCCCCCTCCCTCCGAGGCGGGCAGGGCTGGGCTGGGGGCGGTGCGGGGAGAGCGGCGCTGACTCGGCGGTACCCGGGGCTGTGTCCTTCGTCCCCGAACCCATCCACAAGCAGGGGTTTAAACGCGATTTTCGTCGCCCCTTCGCAAGGCAGAGGGATGGCGGTGGTGCCCAGCGAGTCCTCTGGGACTCCGGTGCGCAGCGCGCACCGCTCCGCCAGACCTGAGGGGGATGCATCGCCCTGACGGGGGGAGACGGCGGCGGGCAGTGGGGCTGGGGTGGGAAGCCGCGGAGGTGGGCTTGGGCGAGCTGCCGGCGTGGGCACACCTCAGGGCTTCCTCTCAAACTGTTTTCACACATGCTCCCATATTAACAACCCCAAAAGATGCACTTATATGCCTGTATGCCAATTATATGGATGTATCATAGTCGGAGAAAAGCTGTGTCATTATGCAAAGCTAGCCTTTGTCAGCCGCAAAATAAACCTATTCCTTACAGTTTGGTCAAATTCGCGTTTGATTCTGTCCGTTTGATTCTCATGTACACAGGGAGCCTTACACCAGGCAGGGTGCAAGACCATGCGTTTGCTGGCTGCTGAGCCCGCGGGTGGCTCAGTCATGCAGGGCCTACTAAAAGGTAGGAAATTAGAGGGAAATTTGGTTGGAAATTAGAAGACACTTCTCAGAAAGAGTAGTCAAATATTGGAACAGGTTGCTCAGGGAGGTGGTGGAGTCACTGTCCCTGGGGGTGTTGAAGGAAAGGTTGGACATGGTGCTTAGGGACATGATTTAGTGGGTGATATTGGTGGTAGGGGGATAGTTGGACCAGGTGATCTTGGAGGTCTTTTCCAACCTTAACGATTCTGTGATTCTATGATTCTATGGAAAGGTGAACACTCAAAGGCCGATCCTCCATTCTCCACAGCTATTACTCTCTGCTAACACTGGCAACAAGGAGCATTGGTGAGGCCTAATGGGCTGAAATTCAGCCCGAGTATCTCATAGACTATCACTAAGCATTGGGACAAATCAGAATCGAGGCTCCGTATTTCAGCCTCTAAATGAAAGCAAGCATTTGCCACATTAGGCAACTTGGCAATCTATATTTTGGTCAGGAAAACAGCTGTTATTCAGATGATGGAGAGTTAGTGGTCTTTATGGTGATAGTTGTCTTTCTCCCTCATTTCTCTCCATTTTTGTTGAATGCTCAAAGGTTTTCTTTCAAATGCCACCTTGACTACAATCTCCCATGACTTTGTCACTCTGTGTTAGCAGTACCACAACCATATCGGTCTCCTGCTAAATACTATCTCAAACTGCATACCTCAAGCTAAATAATATCTCAAGCTAAATGTTTGGAGGTCTGCCAAGAGGTGTTGCACACCACGGAGATTTCCAACATAGTTTCAGGGAGGTTGCCCAAATGCAGCATGTGCCCATCAGCACTGGAAAGTAGAATGAACATAAAAAACTTCAGCTTAGAGATGGCAAAAATTGTAAAACCCTTGTATTGGTGAGGTACAGGGAAGCGCTTGAGAAGCTACATTATACAGAATGTAAAATTAATTTGGTCATATATTACATCCCACAACCAGCTAGAGGATAAAGTCTCCACACATAACTTACTTACATTGCTGGGTTAATAAATAGCTAAATTTGGACTTATTCAGGGTAACTACAATGATTTATTTAAACTTAATTAGTAAATTCTTCTTGCTCTGAGGTTAATCATAAGTTAATATTCCCTGTTTGAGAGGAAGGTAGGACAAGATCTCTTCTCTTAGCAATCTGCTTCTGAGAAGATTCATGTAGACCTTTATATACTCTCTATCTATCTTTAGAGAAGATTAAAACTTGTGAAATCTTAGAAGCTTATACAGTATTATAAGAGGTGTACCTATCAGCACCTTTAAAGATACAATGATGTGCTCATAACCAAAGTGTCCTTTAAAAAGTGTAGTTTCTCTATCTTTCTTAGACAGAAATAAGAAAATACTAAGAACTGATTTAGAAACAATGGAATATTGGAATGGAATGGAATATTACATCTCTTCAATTTCAAAAAAAAAAAAAAGAGAGAACTCTGAAACGAAAGAAAATATAATCTTTTACTCTGTCATCAATCAAATGGATCATGACACATTTGTTTTCAGGGACAGGCATGTAAAATTGACACCTGTTGCAATTTTAATTCAGAAAGCTTAGACATTAATCCTTTTCAAATGGTTTCTACGTTATCTTCCTAGAGAGAAACATTTGTGAGTTCATGAAATTCTAATTGGAACAGCTTATTTTCTTCCTGTATAAAGAGACAGGTTTAGTAGGCTTGTTTATTGATGGCTCAGTGAGACTTTTAATCAACTTCAGATATACAAGGAGTGCTTTTTGGAGCCATGATTTGTATTACACACTAAAAAGTGCAAGTCAGTGCTTTCCCTAGTGTTCCATTTCATTGTTCTTCATGACATTTTGCACAATCTTCTCTATTAAGGAGTACCATGATGACAGCAAAAGTCATATTTACATCTTCCAGTGAGCTGGACCTGTTGCACACACAGGAGTCGCTTTTTGTCACCTTCTCCAGATGTAAGGCACTGACTTACACACGTAAGTGGCAAATGCTAGGATCAGCAACGTGGGTACTTGGAGTCAGCCCCAGACACTGAGTCATATCACATTGTTTCATTGACGTTGTGGTGTTATTATTCTTTTCCTTTAGCTTTCATCATCGAAGGTAGAGCAAGGAGAATTTGTAGTAGCTTTATCTACATTAAAAGGTAATCACAATAAAATGCTCTTAGCATCCCTTAGGATTTATCTTCATATTCATCTTTCTTTTCTGATATTGGCTCAGAAATTCATTATCATCTAACTTGAATAACATCATTTTCTCCAGAAAGTAAATGCATCTGTCATAGAAAAGCCATTATAATCAAGAGAAGCCCACAATTTTATACATCTAAGAACAGTGTTCCTAGTGCATTCAAAACTGCATTGCAGTAATTTCAGTAATTTGTTTCTTTTCTTTTTTTTTCTTTTCTTTTCTTACATGTCTAGAGAGCCATCAGACATCTGAAATAGCAAAGGTGAAACTACAAAATCAACCTATATCATTAATGAAAAATATCATGATTTCTGTGAACCCATCTGCAATATGTATACTACACCAGCAGTACAAGTGTGCCACTAATGAATGCATCTTCATAGTATCTTCTGAAAAGGAATTATATTATACCCATTTTTCAGGTGGAATATCAAGGTATGAAATATTTAAGGATGGCATCCGTAAAAGTAGTCCTACATCTCTTAAGCACTTCTTAAAGTCTCACTGAAGTTATTTACCTGTGAGTACAAAAGAGCAGGGAATCCAATAGTCTCTTACTCTATGTTTTCATCATGTCATGCTTATTCCTGAACATATCTACATGCATTAGTACTCAGTGGTAGCACTGTACGACACAGCAAGTTGACATCTATTTCATCAGAAAGATAAAGATTTAAGAAATCAGAGAAGAAAAAGTAAGATGAAAAGACTAGTGAATTGAATCAAACTGACTGAAGCAAATGGCGGATTTCAGCATCAGCATTAGTGGTTCAGACTAAAAAATATTGGTAAAGTCACTACCTGTGATTTTACTTGCAGAAACAAAACTGCGTTTGTTCCAAGTGTTCTGATTTTTTCTTAAAGGTAGAAGTGATCTGAGCATTGATAGGAGACTTCAAGATGAAGTGTAAGGGAAGGCTGAATAAATACTAAATTTGGCTTCTCTTAAAGTGTCTTTATAGAATGGTGCAGGAATACAGCACATATGATGTGAGGACTTAATTAAATAAAAAGCAAGTGACATAGCATGGAAAGTGATTTTATTAAAGAATGTTGCTGATGTTTTAGCTTTGAAAGATAGCTGAGAGAGAGTTTCTTATCCCTGCTGTATCCGTAAATACAAAAACTATCAAAAAGTAGAATCCAAACCCAGTGCATATAAACCAGAAATCTTTGTTTTCTGTTACAGTAATAAAATCATGTATGCAAAGTAGACAAGTACCTGCATCACACCTTCCTGTAACTGAAGAAAAATACAGTGGGATGATGTGTGACCAGAAGTGAAAGAATTTACCCCACACGGTAGATGTAGAAACACTCGTCTGAAGCTGACACCCAACCACAGGACCACAGTTTACTTCAAAAGCTTGTCTGAATAAATGGAACATAGTAGCCCTGTTCAATACCTAGGCAAGCAGATGCTGTTCATCCAAAAGATGATTTTGTCTCCTAAATGAGACTGAAAGAGAAGGACCAGTACTAATTAATATGCTATAGCAATGGAACACTTTCTGAGGGACTTGCAGTTCAGATGCAATATTTGCTTCTGCCAGACCAACCAAAGGCATAATCAAGCTCATTTCACTTACTGGAGATACATCACCTGAGATCAAAGACACTTTATTTGGTAAGGAAAGGAGAAATAAACAGAGTTTGGAAAATGGCTCAGAGCCATGGCTTTATCCAGGGCATAGAAAGCGTGCACAGGAGAATGATGCATGGAAAAGTGACTTACTTCGTCAAGCTTTGGACCCCACCAACAATGGCTAGCGTGTCCAATACATTGACATAACTAGAACAACCAAAGTGCTGTTCCACCTCAGTATGCCGATTTCCAGCAGTCTCCAAAGGCCAGCATGACAGCTAGGAATGGCTGACTGTAAGGGGACACACAGAAGTAAATATGCCAGCAGGATGTAATTCAAGAATTCCCCTGCTCAAAGCTAAGCTTTCCAGGTTCCACCATGCTTAGGGCTATTTCCCGTGGGTGATTTCATGCAAAGGGCTTTACCGGACGGAGCACAGGAACATGCCCACAATGAGCACATGGTCAAATAAGCAAAAGCATTTACTCAGTCCCTGTGGCCAATCTAAATATAAAATACCTTCCACTATATTTAATAGCTTGTGGAAGAAAACAATACAACAGAAAGGAATCTGATAATACAAAATATGGAAGGGGCAGCAGTGTCT